AAAAGGATAAAAAAAAAAAAGTCATACATTTTTGTGGGCTCTTGGACACACACTTTTTAAAAATTTAATTAATAGCATAAAACTTGGGGTCAGTTCTCAGGGAATTATAAAATGTGAACTAGAGCCCGACCGATATGGATTTTTTTTGGGCCGATACCGATATTAGGGAGTAAAAAGGGCCGATATCGATATATCGGCCGATATTCTGTGTGTATATTATAGTACAGTACCAGTCAAAAGTTTGGACACTTTCCCATTCGTGCGTCCAAACATTTGACTGGAAGTATATATAGAATATATATATATACATAAACACATTTTTTGCAATGATCACTCAGATGTGGTGATGAAACACTTATAAAGACGTGACAGAGATACGTAATGGAGGCAGGGCATTTAACAATTTAACAATAAACTTTATTACCAAAATGAGTCTGATATCAGTGCACTGAACAGTAAAGTTGAAGTTTATTCAACTTGATTGTAATTCCATTCAACTTTATTCCGTTGAAGTTTTTCACTTCGGAACATTCATTCACAGATTTGCGCTACTGTCTTCACACACGGACGAAACTTACTAGAGAAATAACCTCTGTAAATAAATACAATTTAAATTCACGTCTCGCACACTTTAATGCCATTTGAATGTAACGTGTAATAATAATTTATTTTACTTTAGTCAAAATTTATTTTAATTCAAAGTAACAAAAATGATTTATGGTTTTAGATTTAGGTTTAATAGCTTATAATAACCCTGAGTTGTAAGATTTTAACATTTGCTACATAAATTGATTTTACAGAAAAAGAAAAACTCTTAAAAATAAAAAATATTCAGTCCATGCGTAAAATGTGTGACAATACTTTAAAATACATTTCGCTGTGTTCAACTGATTTAAATGCAATAAATATTAACTCACAACAGGATGATTAATTTATGCAATTATTCATGACTTTCCATTGTTTTTGGAACATATATATCTAATCCAAGCTAACACAAATATGTCCTGCTAATGATATAAAAATGTATTTCTGTTCTCTGAATGTTCAGAAACATTTTAAAAACATGTTTCTCTTGTTATGTGAACTTTAGAGAAAACATTACAGGAATAATTTGTCATTTTGCAAACATTACAAGGGAGCGTTGCTTTCGAATGTGACTTATGCCTGTAAGATTTTGCCTTCAGAAAAACATTCCACGAGTGATGCATAAATCATATTTTTGAGAATACCACATAACTTTGATATCTAGTGAAGGAATGTTAGTTCATAACTTTTGACAGAGAATGTTTGCTGGTTTGTTTAATGTTTAAACATCATTTCTTACCTTTCTTTCAGCAGATGAGCTGAGTTTGGCGTCTCTGCTTCTCTCTGATGGAGCTGTATTGCTCTTGTAAGAGCTCGATGTCCATCCTGACGCCGCTCTGGTCCTCCTCTTCTGTCCTGGTCTCTCCACACACGTCTGCACATGTCAGATATGAGCAACAGCACAGCCACAGCCTGAGAAACCTCTCGAACGCCACCCTCCGCGTGTGGGTAGCCCCCCGGGATCGCTAGATCGGTCGGCGCCGGACCGCGAATTTAACCACCCGTAACTCCCGAACCTCTGGGGCTATCCACGCGGAGGTGGTCTCATTCGAAAGGGGGCCTCTAGACGTACACTCGATTCGGCGTTCGAGAAGGTTCCTCGAGCTGAAGGGTGTGAATTTGGTGTGGATCTGCCGCACCGTTACAGAGATATGGCCATTCAAAGTTTCAATGGTTTTCCATAGACTAAGCTTTAAAGCGTTTCATCCAGGTCGCCAGTAGCAAACAATGGAGCGCGCTCTGCTGGACAAACTAAATAATTACACCATTTCAAGCATTTTATCTGCGTTATATGTTCTGTAAAAAAAAAAATCATATCGGTGGCATATTCGCCGATACCGATATATCGGCGACAAGCTCATATCGGCCGATAAAATCGGCAAAACTATATATCGGTCGGGCTCTAATGTGAGCCTGAATGAAATGTGAGTGGACAAATGCAAACATACCTGTATAAATGTAAATGAAGCTGATACAGATGGTTTTAAACACGCTGTAATGTTCTGATTTTTATTTTTGAAGCTGAAAGTTGTCGCTGTTGATGGAAATCTTGAGGTGATTCACCAAAACAGCGTCCAGTTCGACAGCGAGCTGCCCGAGTTCAGGTACAATATCATATTATAATATTATATTTACATTGTACAGGGTTCCCACACCTTTTGGTCAAGTAATTCCAATTATTTTTGAATAAGGAGTTATGTTTAATAATTCATGAAGAGCAATTTCTAGCCAATAAAGCATTTTTGGGGCTGAGCATGACTAAAAAAACTTATATTCGTTGATTGACTTTGTTTCAAATTGTTTTCCAGACCTGGAATTCACAATTGTGATATTCTCTAATTATCATTTCATTAGTCAATGGCAATCCTGGTTGTGTTTTTGGGCAGGACTCATGGAGGAGTTCATATCCACGCAGATAAACTGACGGTCACGTCTCCAGCGCTCATGTGGGTGAAGGTAAAGCTCATTCATCTCATCTGTTCTCATAATTCACCATACCTGTAGAAAAAACACCGCTTAAGACTAGATATGTATATAAAGTGTCTGTGCATAGTGTCTGATGTATAATGATTCCGGTTTATAAAATGGAAATTATATGAGTTCATATCTTTATTAATTAAGCAGTCTTGGTGCTGTTAATGGGATTTATTAATGTGTCTGACTCCAGGCGCTGGATGTTCTTCTGGAGAAAATGAGAAACACTGGTTTTGATTTCTCTCGGGTCAAAGCCATCTCAGGCAGTGGACAGGTGCTTTTAACATTTATTTATTATTATTTATGTATTAGCATATGCTCTGACTGTCTGAAATGAATTGTGGTTTGTGTTGATTTCAAAAAATCAAAAAATATATATATTTTTTTTTGGAACAGTATTTTTTAAATGTGAATTTTGAGCATTTATTTTCTGAGGAATTTTTTGTGGATTATTTTTAAACCTGGTAAAATGTGTAAAATAGAGCTGTTATTACTAGTCTGTTTGATAGCTGAGAGTTTGGCGAATTTGATTATAATGTTTATAAAATTTACATTTATGGGAAGACAGTTGTTTAATTTAATTTTTTTGTAAGACCTATTTATATATATATATATATATGTGTATATGCATGTATGTGTGTATATATATGTATATGGGTCAAAGACGAAAAAAAGTTTTCTGTTTAATTTAATTGCAATTTTGTGTTTCTGAGCAAAAAATAAATATACATTTTCCCCTGATTTACAGAAGACAGCCACTAAAATGTCATTCAGTGTAACAATCTTGTCAGGCATATTTACAACAAAAATCAATTTATGACATATTAAAATACTAATTACTTTCACCCCAAATACTAATTGGTTGAAATTTTAAATTTTTAAAATGTGCCACGATCCTAGGTTTTGCCCATTTGTCAGTAAGACTTTTTACTCATTTAAAACACAATAAAATTTAATATGCTCCCTTATTATTTTATATATTTTAATATGTACAGGTCAGTAAGCATGTTGTTTGAATTTTTACATAAATATTGTGTTACGCTGAATGACGATGCAACATTATTTCAACCAAATTTTGACATTTTATTCTCCAAAAACTTATTTGAAACCTTAAAAGTATGCACTTTACTTACATTTAATGTGCTTTCTCTGGACGTAAAATCACTTTTGTAAATTTCTTTTGATGCAGACATCTTAACGTCTTTGA